TGTTTTTGGAGAACCGAAAGCCATATATTTTATGCAGCTTTAATGCGATTTCTTCCTAAAAAAGACTGGCATTCGTAGCTAATGCCTGTCTGTCAGCACTGCACTATTTATGAGAAGCAAATGTTGAAAATTTAGAAAATTCACAAAGTAGAGTCATAATGAGGAAAAATATCTGAAGTAACAATTTCTCCCTAACGAGCTTGCAACAGACATCGAAAAAAACTTTGCTAACTTGTGAAATACTTAAGAAACAAGGATTCTCAAAAAATAGCAAAAAAGTGAAGAAGTGTCGTCGTAATCAGTGGCCAGAACATCAAAGAAGAAAGTTTTTTTATGTCATTGTCCGTCGCACAGATAAAAAAAAAATCTTTTTTTTTTGCACAGCATCCAAAAATTTTTGGACATTAGCTGCTTCCGGGCTGCTGAGTGCAGCCAAGCGAACTTCGTTGCTCAGTTATTCATAAAAATTTTTTGAGCCTTCCAGCAGCATTGGCAGCATTATTTGTTTTGATGAGCCCAGAAAAAAGGAAGGTCACTTTGTCTCGGCAAAGAGACGCTGCTGGCTTGCTTTTCACATTTAGGGAAGTGCCCTGCGCTAAATAAGTGTTTACAGCCTCTAAAATTTCATTGTTCTAAGTTCGCTGGAAGCAACAAAGGCCGAAATTTTCGGATTTATCGGTATGCATGGACGAAGTAATTCAACGAGCTGCTTACCTGCGACTTTCGGGCACACCCCACAGCGTGTGCCTTCGCATTTTTGACGAAAGTTGATAGCAGTCAGAGATTAACAGCACATTAGCAGTGGGCACGTGCAACAGGAGAATAGATCCTGTGAAAATTGAGGATGTCGGTCGGTCGCTTAGGCCGATTATCACAGCGTTGTGATATCCTTGCGCCAGCACAGATAGCGAATAACAGAGAATTAGCACTGTGTAGCGGCGACAGACGAAAAGTAGACATTTCGCGGATTTTTGGCAAATATTCGTCGCATTCCAGGACTACTGCTGCAGACGCCATTCGTTCACG